TGGCAAATTAGGTCCAAACTTCAAAAGTACATAGCGATGAGGGCATCACTAAATTTAGTGGGGGAGTGACTTACATCCCCCATGGTTGCGGCTGGGGAATTCGGATAACGCAGGCAGTGCGCTACGGTTAGGGATGGCAGTGAGACGGGTTCGGGGCGGGGTCGGGTTTGTCGCCCCGTTTAATTTTTTTTTTAAAATTTCAAATTATGTTATTATTATAGAATAAAATATAAATTCAAAATTTTAAAATTCAAAGTAAACGCATGAAATAAACAATGTTAAAATTTAAAAATTTCAAATAAAATTACGTTTTGACTAAATTACGGTTAGATGGAAGTACCTACGGTAGGGAACGCAGGTAAGAAAAACACAAACACTGCGTTAGAGGATGCAGGCCAAACCTGCGACAAGAAACGTAGGCAGAACAGCACAGGAACCTGCAGTAGGGGACGTAGGCAAGACCAAGACAAGAACTGGGGCAGGGGAACACAGACAAGCAAACTAAAGCAGACTGAAAGCATTGCGGCAATAGATGCAACATCAACGTAGGTAGATTGTGGCAGGGGACACAACAGCAATGCAGGTAGACTATGCAGACAGACGTCAGCAGGGGACGCAAGAACGAAAATCTGGTTTTCTCGGGTGAAAACCACTATCGTGAGGGGGAAGCAATACCGTGGATTATAGCCGATTGTTTTGGATACAAGTGTGTGCCAACTTGAGCCAATGGACAACTTGCAAAATGAGGCCAACATGCCACTTGACAACTTGCTTGAGGAAGCAAAGTCTAACTTGACCACCATGATGGAGACATGTCCACTTGCACACGAGTTGTAGACAACTTGCTTGAGGAAACAAAGTCCAACTTAGCCATCATGATGGAGACCTGTCCACTTGCACACGGGTTGTAGAGATCCATTTGCATGGACAGTGACAACTAGCATAGAGTTGAAAAAGGGTAAGATACAATTCAACAAGACAACTTGCAAGTGTAGAGATATGCCACTTGCAATGTAGTCAATTCCACCTTGGTTATCTAATAGCCAAATGAGGTTTAAGGCAACTTGCAACAAATGAGAGCCCTTGGATTAAGATTAATCCTAGCCATTGATGCCAACTTGTATACCTTAAGTTTGCCTACAAATAAGAGGGACTTGGTCATTTGTAATTCATATGAATGAGTACATGAATTGAGTAGTGGTATTATTAGAGAGTTGAGAGAAAATTCCCATGGATGGAATGTGATTAAAGTGAGCTTGAGTGATATCTTCGTAGAGAAAAAATAGTAGCGAGTTTTTAAATAATTTTCTCTTATATTAACATAAAGAATTTTCCCCCAAGTATATGTGTGTGCTCTTTTCCTCATAAATTTCCTATCAACCTTCTCTACCAAAGTTAACATATAATTTAGTCTCATTGATTAAATTATTGTTGAGGGTTAAGACTGACTTAACGCTATCTCGTGGGGACGAAAATTGTGGAGCGTTAAGACCGCACGGTTCTACCGTAGTTCGGGTGTAACAAAACTAGGCCCATGACAGGTGGTATCAGAGCAAGGTTCACATGGGGTTGAACTAATTTTTCATCTCAGAAGTAAGGTAACGTCCGTGTAAAGTTCACGTGGTGTAGACTACGAAGACGGTATCACGGTGAAGGGTTGGTTGTTGTAACCAAGTGCGGCTGTGGTAGTCAAGTTCGCTAGAGGTTCTTGGAGCTAGATTTGGGTAAGGTGCTCAAAATGATGGAATCTCATGTTGTTGTCAAAATTGAAGTAGAGTGGGGGACATGGTGTTACCCCGGTAGAAGGAATAAGGACACGTGTAAGAGCAAAGCACGGGAGGCTTCCATGATGGAGGAAAAACTTGACCAAATCATCGCAAATATGGGTGATAAGGTCGAATCCTTGGAGCACTCCTTTGAGGCGTTGGAGGATCACGCCATTGAAAAGCTAAAGCTATCCAAATTAATGTCCAAGAGGTGATGAACGATCAAGTATAATTGGGGTACGATGTCTAGGCGGTGAAACATGATGTTCAGGCTAAGGGGGTCGGACAAGCCGCTGTGGGTGAATATTCCACCTGTCTATAGGCCAAAATCATTGATGCCATTAGTGCAATACATGGGCAAATGAACAAGTTGGCCATAACGTTGGAGAAAATGAGCCAGGAGTTCAAGCAATCAACTGTTGGAACTAGCGGAAATGTCTTTACAAGTGTTGTTGCCCCAAAAATTGATTACCCAAAGTCGAAGGAATATGATGGCCTTAGAGATGACGCGGACATGGAGAACTTCCTATGACAAATGGAAGTATACTTTGATGTAGTCAATATTGTCAAGGAGGCAATGAAGGTGCGGACCACGTCAATGTATCTCTCGGATATTGCGATGATGTGGTGGCGTTGTAAGCATGACGAAATTGCAAGGGGAACTTGCAAAATTAACAATTGTGACAAGTTCAAAAGGGGCATTAAAAGGCAATTTTATCTGAAGAACGTTGTCTATGAGGCCCACAAGAAATTAAGGGAACTAAAACATACAGGGACAATTCGTGACTATGTCAAAGAGTTCATGACCCTTATGCTTCAAGTCCCAAGCACACCAGAAGATGACTTGTTATTCTATTTCCTACACGGATGTGTAGTGTGGGTGTGACAAGAGTTGCAATGTCGAGGTGTCAAAATCTTAGATGAGGTAATTGCGATAGCCAAATCCTTGACAGAGGTTGAAGAAAGTACGGAGATGGAAGCAAAAACTATCAAAACCATTGATGCTACCAAAAATCGTACATGGTAGATCCCGAGCTCGAGGACTGAGATGGAACACGAATTGCGCCTTCCGGTACCTAAAACAAAGGCAACGAGGTGTGTGCTCGTCGCCCCTTTGATGCTTAAGTCAGACAGGGGATTGTGCGAAAGTATATGATACAATTGTATCATAAAAGTGTACCTCAATAATAAGCCTTAGCCGTATATTTATAGGTGTTGGTGATAGAATTGTAGGAGGATTCAACTACTTAAGAGTCATTTCCCTCCTAGGGTTAGGCGTTTGAGTTTTGTTGAAAGTGTTCTACTTAAGTTTGGATCTAAGAAGGAGTATGTTAGACAATTAAGATAAGGATCCAAAGAATTATAGCTGGAGCATGATTACCTTTCCCCAGAAATTATATTAACGGACACGTGGCCTATAGTGGACAATGAGACCTGACCTAAATCTATAGGCCCGACCTAAGTGGCCTGACCTCATATTGGGCAATTTATGAAGAGTTGGTTGGCCTGACCTCATAAGCCCGACCTCTTGAGGGTTTTGGGGAACATGTATGCTCAGGGTAAACACCTCGGGCTGTACATGGGTTACAATTTTTGTGCATATCATAGGCCCCCGTGCATCCATGTCAGTAGCTCATGTGCAATGTGAGAGTTTCTGGCATGAGATGCATAAGAATAGGCATACTCATGTTGAGTTAATAGGCCCCCGAGCACATTTGAAAGGGGCTCGACCAACTCTTGTTAAAATCTTAAAAGAATGGAGCTCAACCTCGAGCTCATTAAAAGATTTCGAAAGGAAGGGCTTGATTCAGAGATTGTCAAAAACTTCAATTGAAGGAGCTCGACTTGAAGCTTGTTAAAGATATGAAGCGAATAGCTCGACCTGAAGCTTGTGAAAGACCTCAAGCGAAAGAGCTCGACTTGAAGTTTGTGAAAGACCTCAAGCGAAAGAGCTTGACCTGAAGCTTGTTAAAGACTTCAAGAGAAAGAGCTCGACCTGGAGCTTGTGAAAAACCTCAAGGGAAAGAGCTCAACATGATGATTGTTAAAGACTTCAAGCGAAAGAGCTCGACCTGATGATTGTTAAAGACTTCAAGGAAAGACTTCAAGCTAAAGAGCTCGACCTGATGATTGTTAAAGACTTCAAGCGAAAGAGCTCGACCTCAAGATTGTTAAAGACTTCAAGCAAAATAGCTCGACCTGAAGCTTGTTAAAGACATCAAGCAAAAGAGCTCGGCCTTGAGCTTGTTAAAGACATCAAGCAAAAGAGCTCGACCTCGAGCATGTTAAAGACATCAAACGAAAGAGCTCAACCTCTGGCAAGCTTGATATGTGAGAGGCTCGACCACGAGCTCCGGCAAAACTTGAATGTAAGAGGCTCGACCTCAAGCTCTAGCAAGCTTGAGTGTAAGAGGCCCGACCTCGAGATCTCGCAAAAGGGTTGGACCTCCAGCTTTGTCCAGGTATGTACTGAAAGGCTCAAGCTCAAGCTCACGCTCTTTGCTCGGATTTTGGTAATGTATTGAGCTCGAGGATAGGCTCTCAAACCCTTGGTCGGAATAGACCAGTGGTCGAAATTTTTACTTGATGCATTGTAAGACATAGAGGTGCTCGCGTGGGGCAAGAATTTGAGATGCATGCTAGGGGACAAGGCTTAGATGTGCTTGTTCGGGGGGTAAGGCTTAAAGGTGCTTGCTTGAGGACAAGGCTTAGAGTGCTTGTACGGAGTAAGGCTTAAAGGTGTTTGCTCGGGGGCAAGGCTTAGGATGCTTGCTCGAGAGCAAGGCTTTGAGTGCTTACACGGGGTAAGACTTAGAGTGCTTGCTTGAGGGCAAGGCTTAGAGTGCTTGCACGAAGTAAGGCTTAGAGTGCTTGCTCGAGGACAAGGCTTAGAGTGCTTGCGCAGGGCAAGACTTTGAGTGCTTGCACGGGACAAGGCTTAGAGGTGCTTGCTCGGGGGTAAGACTTTGAGTGCTTGAGCGGAGCAAGGCTTTCATGTGCTATCATGGGCTAGAAGAGTAGATTTTTATTGGGATGGCATCCCGACACCTAATCGAAATAAGCTGAAAAGTATAGGCACGCAAGCCCGACCAACTAACAAACTAATATGGGCACGCATACCCAACCAGCTAAAAGATAAAATGGGGGTGCATGCCCTATCAATTACGAAATGAAAATAAATGGGGCATAAAAACATGTAAGACCCTGGTATATTAGATGTATGACATTGACCATCTAGACAATGACATTGATCGTCCCCACCGTTGGTCCATTGCTGTCCCCAGTCCCTGAGGTATTTGCTTTGTTAAGATCATTCCTTGAACGCTTGTCTTGACCGACAGATGCCCCTAAGAATCCTCTCTTGATCAAAGACTCGATCTCGCGCAGTAAGGCTTTGCATGTCTCTATGGTATGTCCATGGTCTTGATGAAACTCACAATATTTGTTCATGTCCCGGGGCTTAGAAGAGGACTTCATTCTTGACAGCCATTTGAGCTCTTTCATATCATTGATCTCCATCAAAATGTTAGATCTTGTGGTATTCAGGCGAGTAAAGGCTGCTGAAGGGTTATCATGCCTTGTTTTACCACGAGGTTGATCTTGATGCAGATTAAGCTCATGTTGTCTTTTAAGCTTTGGCTTAGCTGATGGTGGGGCATCTCTCTTTGGAAACATAGTCTCTTCCATGTTGATGTACTTTTCGGCTCGAGTAAGTAGGTCGGTTACTGATGTTGGAGGGGTCTTTGATAGAGACATCTTGAACTCTTCACACCTTATGGCATGTATTAAGGCCAAGACTGTGGCTGTGATATGGAGGTCTAGAATCTAGAGTCTTTCCTTGTTGAATCTGGTCATGAAGTTGCGAAGGGATTCATTCTGTCCTTGTTGAAGTTACATGAGGGAAGCTGCTGTTTTCCTGATGCGCTTGCTGCTGGCGAAGAAGACGGAGAACTTGTCGGCTAGATCCGAGAAAGAGGCTATGGAGTTTGGCTCCAAAGTTGAAAACCAGTCTCGAGCTGTGTTGGTCAACATTTGAGGAAAAGCTCTACACATAACTTGATCGGGGGCAACTTGTAGATTCATGACGTCGGTATAAATGTTCAGATGGTTGATAGGGTCGATAGTACTATCATACTCTTTCACACGGGGATACTTGAACCTGTCAGGTAGAGGGAAGGATAATATTTCAGGAGTAAAGGGAGTGCTAGGGGTAAAGCCTGTTGCCTCCTTAGTTTTCTATGCTAGGCCAGCGGTAATTCCTTCTTGGATGATTCTGGCAAGTTCACCTGATTCCATCGTTACTGCCCTTGAGGCCGCGGTCATAGGAGGTACACCCGAGGTTTCAACAACGTTATCAAGAATATTTTGTGGAGCCCAAACTTGAGCTCGAGCAGCTGCCATCAGATCACTGTCCGGTGTCGGTGTATGCAATGGGTGTGAGTTCCTTTGGCTTAACAACTGAGTTAATGCAGTAACTTGTTGGTAGAGCTCTTCGAAAACTCCAGCGGTAATGAGGGCCGGTGGTGGTGCTGCCATCTCTAATGATTCCTCTTGAGGGATAGGATGATCTTCCGGGAGAGGATTTGGAACATATGAGCTTGCTTGTGGAAGACCTAATCGTGTATTCACCATTGCTTTTGGTAGCGCTTCCCATAGACGGCGCCAATGATGCTGCCAAAAATCGTACCTGGTAGATCCCGAGCTTGAGGACTGAGACGGAACAGGAACTGTGCCTTCTGGTACCTGGCACCTCAGATGCTTAAGTCAGACAGGGGATTGTGCAAAAGTATATGATATAATTGTATTATAAAAGCATACCTCAATAATGAGCCTTGACCATGTATTTATAGGTGTTGGTGATATAATTGTAGGAGGATTCAACTACATAGAGTCCTTTCCTCCTAGGGTTAGGTGTTTGAGTTTTGTTGAAAGTGTTCTACTTGAGTTTGGATCTAAGGAGGACTATGTTAGACAATTAAGATAAGGATCCAAAGAATTATAGCTGGAGCATGATTACATTTCCCCAGAAATTATGTTAACGGACACGTGGCCTATAGTGGATAGTGAGACCCGACCTCATATTGGCCAATTTAGGAAGAGTTGGTCGGCCAACCTCGTAAGCCCGACCTCGTGAGAGTTTTGGGAAACATGTATGCTCGGGGTAAACACCTTGGGCTGTACATGAAAGCTCCAGACAGGGTTACAATTTTTGTGCATATCACCCACCAAAGGAAATTTTGGTGATCATAGGGAAAGTACAAAGAATGCTATGCAATGGAATAAACCGGATTGGAGGCAAAATTCTAAGGTTGATTATAGACTCGATGGCAACACACAAACTTCTTAGAGTAAGGAGTATGATGAGAAGAAGATGGGTAATTTTATACCTCGTGTTGCTTTATGTGCAAAGGACCGCATCTCCTGAGGGATTGTCCGAAGTTAGGATCGTTGGCATCCATTTCCATTTTGGAGAGCAAACCAAACGTCGTAGATAGCCAAGATGAGGATGAAGTTCGGATGAGTTCATTCCAGCTATTTAACGTATGAGCATAAAAATCGTTTTCATTGAGACGGAAAAACAACAACTTTCGAGGATAACGTTAGCAGACGTCCTTGAAGATGATAAGGACGTGATGCATGCAGAGTTGCCGAGTGAATTACCGCAAAGGAATGAAATTGATGAAGCATTGTCAAAAAATTCAGAAAGTGGGTGCACGAAGGTTCAAAGCTTCAATATGTGTGAGGACACTACGACTGAAGGAGTCGTCCATCCGAGAAACTAATGCAAAGGTGCAAAGGGTAAAGGTTGTTGTCGAAGGTGGCATGCAAGAAGTTACAACGAGAAGAGGTGCGAGAGGCACCGTGAAACCCGTCCATCGATGAGAAAGTGCCACAAGTTAGGAGAACTTTGATGCCCACTGACGTGGAGGACAATGCAATGCCTGAGTTGTATGAGGATGCACGGAACACGTTCCACTACGAGGACGTTAGCGGATTGAGTGGGAGAGAATGTCACAGACCGCAAGGTGATGACTTGAGGCTTAGCATGATATGGGAATGCCATGACACAAATTGGGAATATGAGATAGACCTATGATTAATTAGATCGAAGCTTCGGCGGTACATGACGATAAGGACGTTGCCAAATTTAGTCAGGGAGTTACTTACGTTCCCCATGGTCACGATCGATACGTTTAGGTTGCGACTGGAGAATTCGGGTAATGTAGAGAGTGCGTTACGGCTAGACGAAAGTACCTGCGGTAGAGGACACAGGTCAAACCTGCTGCAAGGGATACAGGCAGGACCAAGATAGGAACTAGGGTAGGGGGACGTATACAGGCAAATTCAGACAGATTGCAAGCATTGTAGCAAAGGACGCAATAGCAATGCAGGCAGATTGCGGTAGGAGATGCAACAGCAACACAGGCAGACTGTACAGGTAGATACAGGCTGGAAACGCAGGCAGACATCGGTTGGGGACGCAGGGATGGAAATCTGGTTTTCTCGAGTAAAAACCACTATCGTGATGGGAAAGTAATACCGTGGATTATAGCCGATTGGTTTGGATGCAAGTGTGTGCCAACTTGAGCCAATGGACAACTTGCAAAATGAGGCCAACATGCCACTAGATAACTTGTTTGAGGAAACAAAGTCCAACTTAGCCATCATGATGGAGACCTATCCACTTGCACACAAGTTGTAGAGATCCATTTGCATAGAAAGTAACGTGCCAACTAGTATAGAGTTGGAAAAGGGTAAGATACAATGCAACAAGACAACTTGCAAGTGTAGAGATATGCCACTTGCAATGTAGTCAATTCCACCTTGGCTATCTAATAGTCAAATGACGTTTAAGGCAATTTGCAACAAACGAGAGCCCTTGGATCAAGATTAATCCTAGCCATTGATGCCAACTTGTATAGCTTAAGTTTGCCTATAAATAAGAGGGACTTGTTCATTTGTAGCTCATATGAATGAGTACATGAATTGAGAAGTGGTATTATTAGAGAGTTGAGAGAAAATTTCAATGGATGGAATGGGATTAAAGTGAGGTTGAGTGATATCTTTATAGAGCAAAAATAATAGTGAGTTTGTAAATAGTTTTCTCTTATATTTATACAAAGAATTTTTTCCAAGTATATGTGTGTGCTCTTTTCCTCATAAATTTCCTATCAACCTTCTCTAACAAAGTTAACATATAATTTAGCCTCATTGGTTAAATTATTGTTGAGGGTTAAGGCTGACTTAACACTGTCTCATAGGGACGGGAATTGTGGAGCGTTAAGGCCGTACAGTTCTAGCGTAGTTCAAGTGTAACGAAACTAGGCCCATGACACTATGGTCCAATTCGCGTAGAGGTTTGGGCTATGCCCCATTGCTTTCTTTGGGCTTAAGCAAGTCATGTAAGGCCTCCACTTTATAGACTTGCTAGACAATCAAGTCATTACTGGAAATGGGGCTTCGGAGATTTTTTTTTTTTTTTTTTTTACCAACAGATGCTATCATCTAAGGCTGGACAAATCTTCCTAACTGAACCAATCAAACCGAACGGTTCTTTTTAAATTAAATATCTGAACGAGTATCTGAATTGAGAATCGGCGGGTTCGATTTGATTCTCAATTTTAGATTAAGAACTGAATAACCAAATAAAAATCGAATCTCCGTGATTTTTTTAATTTATTTATTTTAAATAAGCCAAATTATTATTATTATTATTATTATTATTATTATTATTATTATTATTATGTTGTCGTCGTCGTTGTTTATAGCATCTTGAATATTATATTTATTTTTTTAACTACATATAATATTATCAGCAACTTGGTTTCTCAATTTTATTTTATTTTTTTATATAAATAAACTTAGAATTTTATAACAAAATTTTGCATTTTCGTGTTTCACAAAATTTTCTGCCAAATGGTACGGATTACTTAAATTCTCGATTCTAGATATAGAATCAAAATTTGTTCAATTTCATATTTTTTAAATTCTCTCAATAAAATCAAAAGTTATAATGTAGTGAAAATAATAGAGAGTTTGTTGTTTAAAAATATTAAGCATGAAAGTGAAATAAGAAAATTTATTTATTTTTGAAGCATATATAATCAAACTAAAACCAATCACACCGTGAACTTTTTGTAGAACTACTGATTTTATTTTTACAATTTTCGATATCTAGACTGACTCGCCTAATGCACATCCTTAATGAAGATTCGAGATCATATCACAAAGACAACATAAAACTTTTCACTAGTTTAGTACTCATAATAACAAATAACGAACTTCGGACCTCATAATATACAAACTCAATATTGGTTCTTTTTAATCTTGAAGAGTTGAATCTAACCTCAGTTGCAAATAAAAAATAAAAAATAAAAATAAAAATTTCTTTAAGGAGTAAATTGCATTTTCATTTTTGTTTATGAAGCACGACGGTCCAATTGATATAAGAGTCACATGTCACACTTGGGCTAGTAATACACTGGATATTTATTCAATATTAAGACCATGAGTGTTTGACCTAAAATCATTTTCGATAGTGGAAATTAAGCGTGGTAATCCCGTTACATTCATAATACCATTCTGTTTTTTTTATGCGAGAAATACTACTAATACCATTTTAAAGTAAAATGGGAATGGATTAGTAAAATTCAATCCCACATTTCAATCTCACATTTAATGCTAATGCATCCATGTTAATTTTTGAAAAATTGACATTCCTGGCTAACCTTTTGATGACAATTTTTCAAGTATTGTAGAAAATTATATTTTGCTATTAAATTTAAATATTTGTTGTTAAGGGATAAATTTCACATCGACTAAATACATAAATGTAGACCAATATACAAGAAATTGAGCTACTAATATAAGGTTGATCTTTTAATATGGAATCTCAAATATTTATATGATATCCCATTAAACTTCAATAAGCAATTCGATCTGATTAAGATTCTAAAATAGAAAATTTCATATCTAAGTGATTAAGCATGATTCATTTCAAAACTAAGAAACAAGGTTTAAAATTTTAAATAAAAAAAAATATATATATATATATATATATATATATATTAATTAAATTTTAT